GAACCAAAAGAGGCTGGCTGACCAGAAGACTTACTTTACTTCCAGGGCAGGGAGTACTTGTCTAACAGGTTATGATATTCTTTTAACCAGAAACTATTTTTTTCTACTTCTTCCCTTTTTAAAATGGTAGCTTTCCCCTGGTTATTCTTGCATATTGGGTATGTTAGGGTGAAGGGGTAGTTTATAATTTAACTGTAGGTGACGAGACTGCTAGGATGATGGATCTGAAGATGGCTGCATATCAACTAGAGATCTGAATGCTAAAATGCAGTAACTGGATAAGACTAGGTTTTTCCCCTTTGAAAACATAAATTCACTACATGTAGGTGTGGGCATTTTTTCAAAGTAGATACGTGGGAAGAAAGGTGTTCCTGTGTGCTTGCTACCCAAAATGAGAAGCAATACTAGACATTTGTGATCGACTCATGGCATTCACTCCTCATGCCCTTGATTTACAGGGAATCCATTTGGTTCTTGGGAGATACATCTTAGGATTCGGGAATAGAGCACATGCCCTGGGTAAGCCATTCAGTGCATTGCATTTATTATAACCCACGAGACATCAGTGACTGATCCAGATATGTGACCTAAGCCCTTTCAGAATGCATCACAGCACACAGGTTATTTATTTTCGTCTAGACTGGAACTGTGGTAGCGTGGAACTGCTGGTACAATTTTGCTACCATGAGGAAAGGAAAACTGAATGAAATTAACATATAGTGTAGGGAAAACACCAAATAATCACACACTGAGCCTGAGCCTCAATCAAACAATGCCTGAAGCCCATCTAACCTCTGGATTATTTTAATTACATGAATTAATGATGTTTGGTAACTGTTTAAACCTGTTTAAAATAGGTTTCCTGTTACATGCAGTAAATCATTCTATTAGAAAAGGCAAATAAAAACTATCATACATTTGCATATGACAGTATATGTGACTGCAAGTTGGAATAAAAAAAATATTGTTCATTTTTGGGTTACTTATTATATTACCTTAACTTTTTCCCACATATAACTATTTATAGTTGAGTTTATAGTTGAGTTTCCCTTGAACTTACCTCAACAAAAATATGCAGGCCTCTCTCAAGGAGTTCCTGCTACAGAATCCATCACGTTCACATACATTTCACTTTCTACTAGGTAGAAAAATTTGCCAGGCAGAAATGGTGGGTTTGCAGGTATGTGTAAGTTTTCATTAAACCAGATTCAGGTTTGAATTAGTCACACCTCCCTTTCCCTCTAGATTTTTTTTAAATGTATTTTATTGATTTTACACAGAGAGGAATTGAGAGGGACAGAGAGTTAGAAACATCGATGAGAGAGAATCATCGATCAGCTGCCTCTTGCACACCCCCTACTGGGGATGTGCCCGCAACCAAGGTACATGCCCTTGACCGGAATCGAACCTGGGACCTTTCAGTCCGCAGGCCGACGCTCTATCCACTGAGCCAAACCGGTCCCGGCTCCCTCTAGATTTTAAATCAACTAAAAAATACACACAGGTTACCAGCAGGTCACAGTTCCATTCCCAGTCAGGGTGCATGCCCGAGTTGTGGGTTCAATCCCTAGTGGGAGGGCATGCAGGAGGCAGCCAATCAATGGTTCTCTCTCATCATTGGTGTTTCTCTCTCTCCATCTCCCTTCCTCTCTGTAATAAGTAATAAAAAATACTCACAGGCATCAAAGTGGGATTAAATATCAGCTTTAATATATTGTTAAGTGAAAAAGCAAAATTCAGAACAGCATGTATAATATGCCACCATTAGTATAAAAAACTGATATACACACATACATACATAATATGCTTGTACATACATGGATTATCTCTGCAAGCATACATAGTAACTGGTAACAGTGGTTATCTTTGAAAAGTGGGACTGAGGAACTGAGGAAAGAGTGAGAAGGGGGAAAGAAAATTGGTTTTTACTTTTAACCTTTAGTACCATTGCATTTTTACCAGAAACAGGTGTTTTTCTCCAAAAACAATTTATATATTAACATTTTTAAAAGAAAAAAATCAATACCAGCTTTATTACTGATAGATCTGGACTGGAGAACATGCTTTGGACCTGAACCTGAAATGTAGTTCTACCCCAAGTCGAAAGTAGATATTTACTCAGCCATGTGAGAAAATGAGCTGAAGAGCCAAGAGAGGACTAGGCTGCTTATCCATAATAACCCTTTTTCTCAATTTTACCAAGTTATTCCCCCTCCCAGAAGGAAGACTGAATGAGGGGCAAGTGGAGGTGGGTAGAAGTTTTCTTTCAAATACTTGTGAGAGCCTTTATTTTTTTTTCTTGAGTCAGGAACATGGAGAGAGACATAAGAAGATGACATCATATCCATGGACATTTTTGTTCTCTAAGCCATAGTGGTCAACACCCAAGACTATGGCTGTCCCCTGTGGGGAAGACCAACATTATCTTAGGAAAATCCTGCTTCCATCTGTGGAAGACTGGTAAGCAGTTCTGTGTTTGACCCTAGAAGGCTCTGAAATAAGTCAGAATAGAGCAGTAATTAAAATTAATTCCAAGGCTACATTATACCCCAGGCTGAAAATTCACTCACCATTTTATCCCTAATTTATAGTTATGTCCAACCACATTATATGATTTAGTTCACAAAGATTACACAATGAACCCCAAAGATAGCATATTAAAATACTCCAAAAATTAGAATACCAACTACATAATGAAAATGCCTTAATTTGAACTATATAAAACCCACTCTAATGATTAAACTCCAAGGGAGAAATGAATGCTCCTAATTAAATTTCTATTTTAAAGTCCAAAGGAATTAAAGTCCAAAATGTTGCCTTTCACGTTTTCTTGTTTTTCTCATTTCAGCCATACGGATCCCACAGAGATGTCTGGATAGATGTATGGTTCCTTCAGCAGCCACAGCCTGAGCTGTCTTCATCTTGATTAGGTGTAGTTCCTTCAGGACGTTAGAAGCTGAATTAATCTAACAAATGCATGTTATATATTTTTTAAGAGTCCACAGTATCAATAGGTCAAAAGATGACCACAGGCCTCACCGGCGTTGCTCAGGGGTTGAGCGTCGATCTATGAACCAGAAGGTCACGGTTCTATTCCCATTCAGGTTGGGGGCTCGACCCCCCAGTTTGGGGCGTGCAGGAGGCAGCCAATCAATGATTCTCTCTCATCACTGATGTTTCTATCTCTCTCTCTTTTACCTCTCTGAAATCAATAAGAACATATTCTTAAAAAGATGACCACAGTATCATCTTCACACCCCAAAATTAGAAAGCACATTAATTCCCAGTCACTGGAAGCAAACTTATGTTACCAGGACTTAATACATAGGACAGAGAAAACATGGGAGAAAAGAGACAGTTTTCTTGGTTTCATCCTCAGCAGGATGCTAGTCTGTCTGTGCTAACAGTCCAGAATCCATGACCTGTGAACTTTAACTTGGAAGATATTTCCCAAGTGTTTGATTGTATTGCCACACGTCCCAGCCCCATATTTGCAGAAGTCCAAGGCCTGTCTGTTACTGTTAATGGAGCTTGTACAGATACCCAGTGTGAAAATGTTGGCTTTTGCCAGGTGCTTCTCTCCAAAACCTTACTTATTTTTAACCTTTCCCCCTAGGCTTTGATTAGCTTTTACCAGTGCCTTCGATAATGGAAGGTACAGTACCCATCCCATTACTTAGTTTTGTGCCACAGTAGGGCTCACCCTTTTGTGCATATGAGTATCTTAGGACCAGGCAACAAACAGGATAAAGTTGAAAAACAAAACACTAATAAGTACCCATTAGATTTCTATCTACCAATGCCAGCATTACACTCTTGAAACATCATTAAGCTTATTGATCATCTGGCACTGATTCTAATCTATGTGTCCCATAGTTCTTCTCGGACAACATAAAAGGTGAGCCCACCAGTTTATATGAAGAAGTCTTTCATAGTTCTAGCAAGTGTCTTGCTCACCTCATATGCTGGGACTCAAAAGTTCCCTAAGAATCAAATCTAAAACTTAATCTAAACATTCTGAGTCTCGGTATAGGAAAGAAATCCGTATCTCAGCCTGATTCCAGGTTTTTGCTCTTTTCATTTTGAGGTCCTGGACAGACTTGACAACACTTGATAAACTCAGGCTATACCGTGTGACTGAGAACTCTAGCTAAATCCTGGCTTAATGCTCCATTGGGTTGGCAAAGACTATTTGTGCTAAAGTCTGCCTGTAGGGCCTGCGTTTGTTAAAACCCATTCCAAGTCTGCAGGTCCTACCCAGAGTCATTGCAGACAACAGAGGTTCTAATACCATTGATGAAAAACCTTGATTTCTCCACTTGGGAGTTCAGTTCCCAAATGCTTGCCCTCTTATTAATTTCAAAAGGTTTCTCAGCCTATACTTATATGCTAAAATGAAAAGTAATTACCCTCTTGATTTTGCAACAAGTTGAGCAATAGATGTAAGAACCAGAAAGGGAGCAATATGTTAGTCTTACTCTCAGTACAGACAGAATTGAAAATGCAACTTGGACAGGAGACCAAAATGGCTTCCCACTCTTCCTCAAAATTACACTTTGAAGCTACCTGGAGGGAAGAGTTAAGGTTGCAAAGAAACTTACCCAGCCAGTCATACCTAACATCTCCGGAAGCTTCATAGTTCAATGAGTAGAGAGTCCGAGTGTCCAAAAGAATTAGGCAACAGGTGTTCACCTATATTTAAACTATTAACACCAGCAAAGACAGAAGTAGGGGCCAATGGCTGTCAGACTTTACCCTTCTCACCAATTAGATCAATCAATCACTGTCCTGTGGGAAGGAACCTGTAAAAAAGGATGGAGAGAAGAGCAAAAGCTTTCCTTCCCAAAATGTCTGAGTTTCAGCTCCTTTTTCTTTGGCCAGGCAAAAAGCATGCAGAAAGCGAGAAGATGGTTCTTACAAATTGGAAAGCAATCAAAGACGTGGTGTGTGCACAGATTTTACAAATAGTCTCACATATCTGGCAGATTCCAAGATGACATCTAGGTTGTTTTTACCAAATCGTAGACATAGATATGGAAATCGTCGTCAAACTTGATGAAGTACACAGAGGGTTTGGCTTCTACCTGATGAATGACCATGCCAGTTCTCTTGGAGCCATCGTCTTTGGCATATTCCACCTGTTTACCTACCAGGCTGTCTATGACTTCTCCCGGCTCTCTCTCTGCAGGAGAAGAATCATTGGCCTCGGGAAGGATGCGCAGGTCACCGTCTTTATAATCATCTAAGAGCTGGTACATATAGAGAACAGGATCCTTCTCATAGGTAATGTAAAACCATGTTTTCATGACAGGTGCCTGAGCCAAGACCATCCCCCTCCATTCATTTTTGGAACCTTCCTCTGTCTCAAAAATATGTTCCACTGCTTTGCCAATCAGAATTTCTGTTAAGTGTGAATCACTGATTGTAGATGATGCAATTCTATTAGGAAAGACTTCAAGTGATGACACTCTTTCATCTTTATGCAGCTCCAGTCCATAAACACAGTCAAAGCCATCATATTTGATAAGATACAGAGAGGGGTTTACAGGTACCTGATCCAGAACGGTTCCCTTCCACTGTACCAGAGGCTCGTCTCCGTCTTTCCATCCGTGCCGAATTCTGCAGCCCACGATGTTTCTTGGAGGCTGGGAGGGGGGTCTGCTCCGGTGCTTCTTGTGTGCCGCCTTCCTCTTCATCACGGAAACCGGCACACCCGCATGCCTGGAGCCTGTTCTGGACCGCTGCTCTGCAGCCGCTTTTGCGAACGGCGGCTTCATGCCTGAGAGGAGCACAGTTGCAAGGCAGGCCAAGAAAGGAGACTGAGAAAAAATCAATTCAAAGTATGACACGCTGAGCTTTGTCTCCTAATTAGTGCACTCCGTGCACCCACACCTAAGTTCCTCCCAAAGGCTGCAAATCAAGGTATCCTGGCGTGTGCCTGCAGTAACCTTCCTCCCAGGCAGGCTCGTTCCAGCTACGCAAGAGAGAGAGAGAGAGAGAGAGAGAGAGAGAGAGAGAGAGAGAGAGAGAGAGAGAGAGAGAGAGAGTTGCCGTTAGGGTCAAAGAAATAGGGGGCACCCTCTATTCCTCCCACCCGGCTTCCAACATCGTGCCAAGTGGCACAGACTCCCCAGAGCCTCACGTGCCCAAATCAGGCACTTTGCTACCTTCGCTGCGTGCCTGGAGGGGAAAGATGATCAGCAGGCGCCAAGAAGGGAGCTCGCTGAAGCTGGTGGAGGAGGAGGATCCTCAGACGAAGTGCGTGGCAGGCAGGCGAAGAGGATGGCGGCTGTCTTCAGCACGGAGCTCAGGGGCCCCGCTGCGTCCCAGTAGGCAGCAGAGGCCCCTGTGCCACTTCGGGATCCCACCAGCCGCTGCTACTGCTGCAGCAGTCTCCTCCCTCTGTATCTCAGCTTCCTGCCAGGAGAGTGGCCTCCCCTTCCTGCCAAACAACGTGTGCCCTCCTCCCCCAACTCTCACGCCCACCTCTGCCCGGAGCTTGGGAAGCGCTTCTTGGTTCCTTCCTGGACCTGCCTCTTTCCAAATCAGGAGCAGCCCCCGCTCACATCCCCCCTCCCCCAGCGTCTCTTTCTCCAGTACAGAGCCCCTGGGCTCCCTGCTCCCACACTACCTTAGCCCAACCTCGGTGCCCCTGCCCCATCTGCTTTCCATCTTCTAGGAATTCGCCCTTTCCTTTACCCCGTGCCTTTCTGGAGTTATTCTTTATATACAGAAACCTGCCCTTCCTGTCATTTAAAGGGATTTGTGGTAAAATGAGAGAAATGCATTAGTGCTCAGTCTGCCATCTTGACCCAATCTCTAGGTAATTTTAACTCTCTGGTCCTTCCCAGACTTTACTTCTTGAGGGTAATTTTTTTTTCTTTTCTCTTTCTCTCCCCTTTTCATCGACTGCTAAAAAAATGTATGCACAATGTGGGCAGAACTCAGAAAATTGACACAAAGAAAGTCAAGTGTAAGCTCACCTCCCATTCCCCACACCTCAGAGCAAAATATGAACATTTTATGTTGCCTTTGCAATAAGCACTTGCAAAACTGGAATAATTTTGCATATGCATTTTCATGGTATACTCTTTCCCATATAGAATATAGATATAGAATATCAGTTTATTAGATATTGTCTTATGCATTTCTGTAGTACCTTCATTAAAATCGACATAAGGATATTTTCATAATTTAACCATTCTCTCCAATCAGATGTTTAGTTTTGTAAGCAAAAGCTTATAAATGATGCTTGCACATGAATTATTAATCTGTTCTTTTTTATTGTTTAAGGTATTACATATGTTTCATTCCTCCCCCCCACAACTGATCACGCCAGCCACTCCCATCCCCCAGGGCAAGCCCCCACCACCCGTGTCTATGTCCACTGGTTATGCTAATATACATGCATACAAGTCTTTTGGTTGCTCTCTTACCCGCCCCACTCCCCTGTCTTCTCTCTGAAGTTGCACGATCTGTTCAGTGTTACCTTGTCTCTGTCTCTATTTTTGTTTGTTAGATTATGTTGATAATTTTATCACACATATGAGTGAGATCATGTGATATTTATCTTTCTCTGACTGGCTTATTTCACTTAGCATAATGCTCTCTGGTCCATCCATGCTGTTGCAAATGGTAAGAGTTCCTTTTTTACAGCAGTGTAGTATTCCATTGTGTAGATGTAGCACAGTTTTTTAATCCACTCATCTGCAGATGGACACCTAGGCTGTTTCCAAATTCTAGCTATTGTAAATTGTGCTGCTATGAACATAGGGGTGCATATATCCTTTCTGATTGGTGTTTCTGGTTTCTTGGGATATATTCCTAGAAGTGGGATTACTGGGTCAAATGGGAGTTCCATTTTTAACTTTTTCAGGAAACTCCATACTGTTCTCCACAGTGACTGGACCAGTCTGCATTCCTACCAGCAGTGCACAAGGGTTTCTTTTTCTCCAAATCCTTGCCAGCACTTGTCATTTGTGGATGATAGCCACTCTGACAGCTGAGTTAGTACCTCATTGTTGTATTGATTTGCTTCTCTCAGATGAAGTGACTTTAAGCATGTTTTCATATGCCTCTTGGCCTTCTGTATGTCCTCTTTCAAAAAGTGTCTATTTAGGTCCTTTGCCCATTTTTTATTGGATTATCTTCCTTTTGTTAAATTGTATGAGTTCCCTGTAAATTTTGGAGATTAAACCCTTATTTGATAGCCTTGGCAAATATGTTCTCCTATGCAGTGGGCTTTCTTGTTTTGTTGAAGGTTTCTTTCGCTGTGCAGAAGCATTTTATTTTGATGTAGTCCCATTTGTTTATTTTCTCCTTAGTTTCCATTGCTCTACGAGCTGTATCAGTAAAGATATTGCTATGACATATGTCTGATATTTTGCTTTCTGTAGAGTCTTCTGAAATTTTTATGGTTTCCCTTCTTACATTTAAGTCCTTTAACCATTTTGAGTTTGTTTTTGTGTATGGCATAAGTTGGTGATATCGTTTCTTTTTTTTTTTTTTCATGTATCTGACCAAATTTCCCAGCACCATTTATTGAAGAGACTGTCTTTTTTAAAAAATAATTTTTTTATTAAATTATTATCTGTGTACATATACCATTGCACCCCCATCCCATACATGCCCTCCCTCCCCAGAGTTTTGTGTCCATTGGTTGTACTTATATGCATGTATACAAGTCCTTCGGTTGATCTCTTATCTCCCCCATTTCTCCCTACCCTCCCCGCTGTAATTTGACAGTCTTCTTGTTGCTTTACTGTCTCTATATCTATCTTTTGGTTAATCAATTTATAATGTTCTTTATTATCCATAAATGAGTGAGGTCATGTGGTGTTTCTCTTTCATTGACTGGCTTATTTCACTCAGCATGATGTTCTCCAATTCCATCCAGGATGCTGCAAATGATGAGAATTCCTTATTTTTATGGCAGCATAATATTCCATTGTGTAGATGTACCATAGTTTTTTGATCCAATCACCTGCTGATGGGCACTTAGGCTGTTTCCAAATCCTAGCTATTGTAAATTGTGCTGCTATGAACATAGGAGTGCATATGTCCTTTCTGATTGGTGTTTCTAGATTCTTGGGATATATTCCTAGGAGTGGGATTACTAGGTCAAATGGGAGTTCCTGAAGAGACTGTCTTGACTCCATCATATGCTTTTGCCTCTTTTGTCAAATATTAATTGAGCACAATTGGGTCTATTTCTGGGTTCTCTGTTATGTGCCATTGATCTATATGTCTGTTCTTGTGCCAGTACCAGGCAGTTTTGAGAACAGCGGCTTTGTAATATAGCTTGATATCTGGTATTGTGATCCCTCCAACTTTGTTCTTCTTTCTCAGGATTGCTGTGGCTATTCGGGGTCTTTTTTTATTCCAGATGAATTTTTGGCAAGTTTGTTTAGGTCTGTGAGATATGTCATTGATATTCTAATGAGGATTGCATTGAAACTATAAATTGCTTTGGATTGTATGAACATTTTAATTATGTTGATTCTACCAACCCATGAACACGGTATGTTCTTCCATTTGTTTATTTCTTCCTCTAGCTCTTTTTTCAATGTCCTGCTGTTTTCTGAGTACAGGTCTTTTACCTCCTTAGTTAAATTTATTCCTAGGTATCTTAATTTTTTTGGTGCACGGGTAAATAGGATTTTTTTTTTTCATTTCTCCTTCTGTGAGTTCATTATTGGTGTATAAAAAAGCCATAAATTCCTGGGTGTTAATTTTTTATCCTGCTACATTGCCGAATTCATTTATTAAGTCTAGCTGCGGTTTTTGTTGTTGTTGTTGTTGTTGTTGTTTTTTTATGAAGTGTTTGGGGTTTTCTATGTACAATATCATGTCATCTGCAAATAATGACAGTTTTACTTCTTCTTTTCCAATCTAGATGCCTTTTATTTCTTCTTGTTGTCTTATCACTATGGCTAGCACTTCCAGCACTATGTTGAACAGGTGTGGTGAAAGTGGGCATCCTTGTCTTGTTCCTATTCTTAGGGGAAATGGTTTATTTTTGCCGATTGAGTATGATGTTGGCTGTGAGTTTATCATATATAGCTTTTATTATGTTGAGGTGTTATCCCTCTATTCCCACTTTGCTGAGAGTTTTTATCAAGAAAGGGTGTTGCATTTTGTCAAATGCTTTTTCTGTATCGATTGATATGATTATGTGATTTTTGTCTCTCAATTTGTTTATGTGATGTATCACATTTATTGATTTGTGGATAGTGTACCATCCTTACATACCTGGAATAGATCACACTTGGTCATGGTGTATGATCTTTGTAATGTAAACTGTTCTTTTGAAAGGAATAATCTAAACAGAAACCTATAATCAAAACAATTACTATAATTATACTGGGAATTTAGTATTTTGACATTGTGAGTTTATAAATCTATGGGAAACACCATTTTTCCCCATTACAGCCATCTTAGTGAGCATGAAGTAGTATCTGATTGTGGTTTTAATTTTTGTTTCCCCGATGACTAATAATGATGACCATCTTTTCATGTTTGACATTTGAGTATCTTCTTTGGAGAACTGAAGTTATCTGTTCATTTTTAAACTGAAGTGTTTCTGTTGAAAAATCAGCTGAAAGCATTATGGGAGCTCTCTTGTATATAACTTAATATCTTTCTCTTGCTGCTTTTAAGATTCTCTCTTTGTCTTTAACCTTTGCCATTTTTAATTACGATGTGTCTTGATATGGGCCTCTGTAGGTTTATCTTGATAGGGACTCTTTTTGGTTCCTCAACTTGTGTGACTTTTTCC